CTTGATCTCTTTATTCTACTTTAAAGTTTTTTGTTTGTTTGTTTGTTTGTTTTTGCGGTATGCGGGCCTCTCACTGTTGTGGCCTCTCCCGTTGCGGAGCACAGGCTCCAGACGCGCAGGCTCAGCGGCCATGGCTCACGGGCCCAGCCGCTCCGCGGCATGTGGGATCTTCCCGGACCGGGGCACGAACCCGTGTCCCCTGCATCGGCAAGCGGACTCTCAACCACTGCGCCACCAGGGAAGCCCTAAAGTTTTATCATAGGAAAATTAAGAACAGTAAGTTAAGGCAGATATTAGATGTAGAATAAAGAATGTAAAATCTTAAACATGTAAATCAAGGGCTCAAATGAAATGGAATCCTAATAAGCTTTATTTTGCAATCACACCTAAAGCACCATGAAGAAGAAATACAAGCACCTGAAGACAGATTGATACTGGATTCTAGGCAGATACTTTGGGTACCTTAGGATTCTTTGACTTTGTAACTTTGACATGCATGTTTTCATGAAAGTAAAGTTATTGAAGATCATTTGTTCCTTTTTATTTTTAAAAATCTTGTCTTCTTCAATAGTTTTTCACAGTTTGAGCCTTGAGATGTTAGCGTCTTGAAGGAGATGATTGGATAGTATTATTTCTTCATAGGTCATGTGTTTGAAAGTGAGAAAGTTTTTGAAATAAGTGTATCCATCCTGTGTTTTATTGATAAACACAAGTTTCTGGGAGCTATTGCCTCCGTTAATCTTTATTATGTTAGGGGTTAGAACTATATAGACCAGAGATTATGTTGCAAAAAAATCAATGTAAAATTAAAATAGCTGTTTCCTGCCCACAGATGATGAGGACGGTATGGACTGCACGGACAGTGAGAGGCGGCCGCACTTCCCTCAGTTTTCCTACTCTGCAAGCGGACGAGAATAAGTCTCTTCTGCTACTTCACTGTCATCTTAGATTTATTACTGAAAATGATTCCTGGACATCACAGCAGTCCTAGCTCTTACAAAGGCAGGAGCACCTTCAGACATCCCAGACCAGTCCAAGGTCTTCACCCCTCGCCGCCTTTCACCCACATGAGAACACACATATATGCAGACATACTCGACTTTTGTTTTTGCATGAAATTGTATCTCAGTCTAAGGTCTCATGCTGTTGCTGCTACTGTCTTACTATTATAGCAACTTTAAGAGGTAATTTTACAATCTTTGGAAGTCATGAGCCCACCATTGTTCATTTGTGCACCAACTGTCATCTTTTGCTCTTTTAATTTTTGTTTTTCCCTAACAGTGAAGGCTAAATGATTCTAGGTATATTATTTAACTTTCTAGATGATAAATCAAAAACTAATTAGACTAAGAAGATTTAGTTTATAATTCAGAACAAGCAATTGTGGAAGCGTGGTGATGTGCATATGCAAAGTTTTAGTAAAGCATATCAGATCAGTGCGTAAAATAGGTATGTATCAGTAAGATCCGACTGGAATTCATTAGGAAGCATTTGAGAGAAGGAATGAACAACTATTAAGATAGATATATACATTTATAGATTTAAATTCTTATTCGATACTGCAGAGGAAGCCTGGTATTACATGTGGATGTCCAGATTTCACAGGCAGTTGTTGGCAAAGGAACATTGTTCTACCAAGGAAGGAAGCATATGCACAGCAGAGTAGGTCACTTAAAGGGTCTATGATATGATTTGCACCAGAGAGCGTTTTATTTCCCCTGTTCTTGGAAACCTTTTTCCCTTCTTGATATTATCACCTCTGATGGCTGAAGAATGTAGACAGGTGTAATGATCCTGCTTTTCACCAAAATTTGTACACCAAGGTAAACAGGTGTTTGCCTTATTTGTTTTAATTTTTTACTTTCAGTTCTACGTGAATTAGCTTTTTCTCGGATGTTAAAACTTTGAATGTCCTTTTATGATTTTGTTTATGTTGCAGTAGTATTTATTTTTTAGTGATGAGAATTGTATGTCATGTTAGCAAATGCAGCTCCAACTTAACATAAAACAGACTTACTGCAGTTTCTTTTGACCCATGTGCAAGGAATGTACACGCCGATGAGAGTCATGCACTTTTTCTCCTATGTAAAAAAAAAAATTTGATGAGGCTCTGAAATTGTACATATAGATTAGAATTTGGCTTTAGGAGAAGAGATGCTGTCATTTAACCCCTTGGTGCTAAAAATGAGAAATCCCCAACTATCCATGCCAAGGGGTTGAAACAAATGGATGTTATATTTGCTCTTTTGAGAATTGAAATATTATGATGGCCTGGCAACATAATGTAATGAAGAAAATTGAGACCTGGATGATAAGAAATGAACTTTACTTGGCAAAATGAACACATCTCAAGTATTTACGAAGTGGGCAGTAAAGGATAAGGACCTGGTGTGTTTATTCTGATCATGGTACATTTATCACTGAATTAAGCCATCAGGGAAAAAACAAAACAAAAAAGAACACCTCCAACTTTTCTTTTTCTGTATATACTCATGTCCTCAAATTCCGACACTTCTCACTGAAAGGGGACATGTATGCAAACCTCATCTTTCTCTTTCATTAATGATGATCTTCAGATTAAACCCTTTGGTGCTAGGAGCTGACATTTTCCAAAGCAGCCTATGAAGTCCAGGGGGCTCCTGACTCCGTGGAGCCATCGTGGAGATGTATTTTAGTTAAACTATCTGACAGCTCCCAAATGGAAGACTACAGCATGACGTAGTGTTATGATTGCGTTGTATGAAAGAGCAAGTGACTTTCTAAGTAGGATGAATCATATTCATATGCAGATGTCTTAGCCTCTTGACGCTGGAAGTGTGGGTTTACAGATATGAAACCACTGCTGGCAGTGGGTGGACCACTGGGACTGACAGGGGGTTAAAGGGCATTTTACTAAGGCAGCTAAGACATATTCAGACATAGATTTTATCCTAATTTTTCATATTTCTACCTGAGTGAAGTTCATCCTTAGTACTGAGTAGGAAGTTACAGTAAAATGGTAGTTCATTCTTACTTACACATATAGCTCAACTTCTTTTTTTCACTTGGAATTATGTTGACTGTTTCACTTTGACAAGAAAGTAGACTAGAAGGTATGTCCTGTAAGTTGTCTTGCATCCATTATATAAAAAAGAAACAGGTGAGAGGAAGAGAGGAAAGCTGAGACTGGCTGGTGTTCAGAGCATTCATTTCTTCAGAGGGAAAGTACACCATACACTAAGCACACAGATAGTTTTGGGGTTTTTTTCCCCCTCCCCAAATCTTAAGGTGATTTCCATGACCTTGGCCAAGGACACTTCCTAAGGATTAATGACATCGTTGACTGTGCCTCAGGCTGGCCACTCTGCACAGCTGGCTCTCCGTCCCCAGCTGGTGCCCGGGGCTTAGTCCCGGATCCCCTCCGAGATTCTGTTAGCGTCACACAGGGTGTGTTGTTGGCTTTGATTTTAAGAATCCCTTACTTTCACTCCCTGATCTCAGTCAGCTGGCATGGAAAAACAATAGAAAAACAGAAATGTGTGTAGAAGGAGATTCTAAAACTTCCCTCATGTCTGCCCATAGCTGAAGTTTCGGATTCTGGTGGACGGAAAGGCCTGGCCCTGGAGTCACTCTGTCAGAATAGCAGAAGTTCAGGCTTTGCAGACTCCTTCCTGTACCAACTTCCTTGAAGTCTGCCTCTTGCCATGATGCAGCCATCTTGGAGGAAATTGGCCGTCTCTGCTTGGGTCTTCGGCAGGGCTGCTCACAGCTTTGCTTTCCACACTAACTACATAGCATTATTCCAGTGTTTTCCATTTCCCATACCTGATTTCCAGCTTCTTAAAGCTGACTGTTCTTGCAAGGGCCACTTGCTTCTCTTAGAGTACAAAGTAAGGGCCTCCCTTACTAACTGCAGGGTCTTTCTATTACACCTCAGCGTACACACTTTGCTGCTACTGTCTGTACTGTGTCTGCAGTAGAACTCCCTTATCTTGCTCCTGGTACTGCATTACAGGCAAGCATGAAATGTAAAGTATTTATTTAAATAAGAAGAAAACCTCTAAATTGGTAATTGAATTACCTCCCTGTAGCTTTATAGTTTGTGACATTTCTTGACCTTGCTAGTTCTTTCATTAGATCCGCGCAAGATCTAGTCATCTGGTTAAGGATTTCAAGCAGACGCAACTATGAACCCAAGAAACTGTATTACTATTACTGTTGGTCATACTAAAACTGTTTATTTCCTTAAGTATATGACCCACAAGGATGTGAAATAACTACAAGAAACTGTTTTTGTACACTGTACATCCTTAGTATTTTTACACGTATATGATAGGGATGCACATTATTTTCCTTCGTACAGACACAGCTTAAATAAAGCACTATGTCAATCTGCTACTTCTCTGTTTATTGTTGTTGGATGTGGTTCCGTAATCTCAGAAAATTAAATATTATTCTTTTCTAAAAAAAAGATGAATAGTGTCACCTGGTATTAACCCATTCTATATAAAGTGTGACAGGAAAGTATGTACATTTCTTGTAGCTCAAAACACACACAGGATTTATTTTATTACTTCAATAAAATGGCAGTAATGCAACTGTACAAACTTTGATGAAGGGCTGCTTCCAAAGGGGGGATGCTGACTTCCCAACAATGGGTTTAGGAGAGATCTGTGAAGCTGGAGATAGAATAGGTACTTTTTGAGATTTGTTAAGCCCCTAGTAGTCCTCCCACCAGGTGGTTTGGACCCAGAATTCTTAAGGAATGTAGCTCATCAGTAACGTCTTCCTGATAATGTGTTGCGCTGCATACTTCCTTTCTTAGAGTATATTTTTAAAATGTCATGGCCAATTAACCAACTGAAACGTGGGTAATAGATGGGTAGGATGGTTGGACTACAGTCTGATTTACCTAGGGTCATTTTTCTGATTTTACCTCATAAACCTAAATACTATTGGAGAAACTTGGCTTTGCTCCTGTGACTAAGCCAGGTAGAGGAACGGCTTTGGGACCAAAGTTGGTCAAGCATGTTATGTGTATGTCACACAGCCAAACTGGAGGGCATTCTTACATGTGCTCTTCTCTCAAAACCACTGGGGTGGACAGATCCAGGAGGCTGACATAAAGTGACCTCTATAATTCTTTAAAGGTGCTATTTTTAGAATATTGTGTAATTTATTTCCTGTTCCTGAAACAGAATTAGGGACAATTAATGTATCTTATGTGACAACCTTTATGTCTAGCACACTTGATGAAATCAAAAAAAACTTCTGAATCTGAATAGAAGTTCTATTCTTTCAGGCTTGAACCTTGTCCATGCTCGAGACACTCAGTGGTCTTAGCGGGTGTATCATCCCACCGCCTCCAGAGCCCTAATCCACATCCTTCTGAGAGGCCATGAAGAGGATGTGATGTGATGTGATGATGATGACAGATCCGTGCCAGGGAGAACAGCCTGAGGTCAGGGACTTGTCCCGACTGCAGCCTTGCCCTTAGTGTTCCATTGTCATCCTCAAGGACAACACAACACTTTCAGCGCCCATTTTTATTACTTTAAAACACTTGAGGGCTTCATTGTGAATAGTAGAAATACTATGTTAAACTAAAATGATGATCTGTGTACAGATGTTTGATAGAAGTAAATTTTGTAATTTCACTGAGTACATTTTTAGCCTCCTCTCAATTACTGCATATTGAAGAAGAAACATGACACCACCAAGCCAAAGATGCTTTTTGTCTGTTTTTGTTGTTAACAGAGTGGAGAGGATAATGCCTAGTGCTTCCTGGTGTCTTCTGACTGTGCACAAATTAGCAGGATGATAAATAATGGAGTCTTATGGGATGTTGATTAAAAGCAAATAAAGTTGAAGGATAATATATATAGATCTCTCCAAGAGGGAAAGAAACATGAATGGCAGGAAAAAAGATTTGGTCCTTAATACCCTTTAGCCTAGTTAAAATATGTGCCTTCTTTTGGTGTGTTTTTTTTTTTTCATCACTACAAGATAAAAAGGAAACATTTCAAGTCTTCAGAAAATTCATTTATTGAAATTCACATGTGTAACAAAGCATACAAATGAGCAGATATAAAAACATACTAACTTCGAGCCTTTTCTGAAAACATACACCAGGAGGTCTCCTCATCTAGTGTCAGACTTCAGCTTCAGCCCATCCATCCTGCAGGGACCGCTTGGCAACGAATGTGGCGGTGACGACGCAGCCCGCCGCAGTCTAAGGTGGGGTCCACTGGGAAGGTCGCGGTGCGTTGTGGCATATTACGTATAAATCAGATGAATGTAAATATCTCTTTGTAAATCACTTATTTCACTGTTTCATCCAGGTCAGCAATCAGATTGTGGCATGCTGGGTAACTGGAAAAAATGATAATAAAAAGTAAGTTTAAATAGATCATGTTCTTCAATGTGATTTGTCTTCTCACTGGTTTAGTTACCTCTTTCTAAGTTTTTGTAGAAAGTTCTTATGCAAAAAATATAGAAATTGTACGTAACCAACTGTATGAAAAGTTTGTAGGAATATAAGGTGAACTCTTTTAATGCTTTAAGTCTGAAGACACGCTATATTCCAGACCTCTGCATGTCTCTTAAATAAGGGTGGTCTGATGACAGGACACAGCTAAAGAGCCATCTCTTACCCCGTGGACAGGAGAAAGGAGGTGCTGCTTCGTGCCAGAATCTGTTTACTGAAAATTGCTCAGACATTACAGTGAGTAAAACTGGACAAAAAAACAGGATGTGGATAGGCCAAGTGTCCCTAAGAAATTCCTGGTAAAATGATAACAAGCTAACACCTCCAAATGTTTAGATGCAGACAGTGTGTTTTAACGTATATAAAGGCATTTTCACATGGAAACCACCTACCACATGCTGGAAGAGGGAATTTAGTGTATGTCCTCTCGTAGTTTTAAACAGGAATAAATGTTTCAAAACTAGCTCATGAAAATTGGGTTGAGGGAGTCGCAAGTTAGCAAAGTACTGCTGCCTGCCCTAGCGGATGTCAGATGTGGCTGTTCAAATTAGTTTAACCCACGTCAGGAAGTGGTGTCAGAAACCACTGGAAATAGTTACATTGCACAGGACATTTCTCGAGTACCTACTGTGTCCTGTGTGGGAAGATGACTCAGACGTGGTCTTTGCCCTCCAGGAGTGTGAAGTCACCAGGATGGTAGAGACTAGACAGAGGGCTAGGATGATAACTACCGAATCCCGGTTTTCACTTCAAGAGATGAACTGGAATGTAATGCAGGGACACGGGCCCCATCTGGTCTCTGTTTGGCTGGGTGAGAATCATCTTCAAGAGAAACAAGTGGGCTCTGCACTCCCCCACAGAGATTTCCTGAATTAGAGAGGGCTCTTGTCTACCCAACTTAAGCCACGATTACTTGTGGAGGATTTCCAAGACAGGACAACGAGTGATCAGCGTTTCCAAGATCAGAGTTTGCACAAGAAAAATATGAAAATTAGCCTGTTAGCTTCTTTTTTAAAAAATGAGAAAACGTTTACATTTCAAGTAGATTTCCCAGCATATGTGAGACACTCATGACTTTTTAGTGAGCAATTCTGTGGGTTTCGACACAGGGCAATTAGAGTATCGTGTGCAGCCCCTGCTCTCAGACAGTGGGGGGCCCCGCACGTGGTGAGGAAGTGAGTGGTGTCTGTGTGCATCTCTCTGGGGGTTTGGGAAGTGGCTGGACCCTCTTTCGTGGCACCCACGGGGCTCCTGGAGCATCACAAGGAAGACAGGGAGCCCCAGGGCCCTGCCACTGCAGAAAGGGCGCCCCCTGTCCTCAGAGGCTGCCGCCGGCTCCATTTGCCCATCAAACACAGGATCTCCACGAGCTGATTTGCCTTCCGGTCCTGACTAAACTAATCCAGTGAATGACTGGCTTGAACGACCCTCCCGTCCCACAGACAGGCAGGCTGCCTGCCCACCGGGTGCTCTGGAAATTGTGGCTTACTTTCTAACTTTAGAGATTCGAGGGCGTCTTTGAATACGAGAATAAGCATAAACTGCAATAGGCACGTTTTCAAAAAAAAAAAAAATTAACTGAACTTGAGGTAGAAAAGACACATACCTGTAACATGCACAACACAGAACAGTAAAGACCTGAAGTAGAAGGGAAATGTATTGTGGGAATTTTTAAAAACCAAGCTCTAGGAAACGGGCAGTTCTCACATGAGTCTTCACGGTTCCCGCCAGGAACTGCCCATCGCCTGGCCCATTCCCTGCTGGCACTTGTCCAGGGGTCAGCCCACATTTCTCTCCCGGGCTCCATCGGTTTTTCTCTTTCATTTGGTTTTGGTGCAAAGCCCTGCATTCCTCCTCACAGTACTTACTGTTCACTACCCGACCCGTCGTGAGCATGCAGCAAATGGGACTGAATGAATCACGTACCCTGTTATGTCACTGTCTTCCTGCTAAATAGCTCTCAGTGTCACCCTTGGATGTCTGGATGTTTAGTAAAGAATGTTTCTCGGTTCTTCCCCTTAGGCAGGGAGCATGTCCAGAGAGACAGAATCTTTAGTTACTGCCAAAATCTGGCTCGTCTGCCATCACTTCTGAGGGACGTTAGCCATGCCTATTTCCAGAAAGCTGGTTCACTGCCCACACCGCTGTGGACACCGTGAGGTCGGGCTGTAAAGGAGACGAGGGTGTGTGTGCCGATGGGACACAGCCAGTGTGAACCGTGGCTTGAGCCCTCAGCCACCATGTTCCCGTCCCTGGACCATCACACTTGTCACCAAGGCCCCTTGCTGTGGCCCCCCCTGGGTGGTGTGGCCACATCTGCAGTTGTCGGTGGCTGCCCTCCAGATTGAGGAGGGCTGACAGCACCCTGGCAGCTGCTCTTCTGCAGCGCTGTCCGCAGATGATATAAATGCTCCCCAACTGCAAGCCCGCTATCAGCGACCCGTTTTCTTTGTTCTCGTTTTAAACCCTAACAGAGCCTTCTCTCCACAAACCCTGACTTGTGTGTCTAATTTGTTTCCGAAGTTTAAATTCAAAGTTGAAAAAACGAGTCTCTCTGGGTGACCTGAATTGTTCCCCAAGCAGCCACACTGCGGGGTCCAGCCGAACCTTCTCTGCGGCTTCGTTCCCAAGCCTGCAGCCCAGGGACGTCACGGCACCAGCTAGGCCCTACGCATACGGATGCTCACGGTTCAGCCTGCCCCGTGTTTCCACCATGTGTCTCTTCTCTGTGCATGTCCACCCGGCCTCTTAGCAGCCCCTCCCAATGGAATATCCCTCCTTCTTGCTTTTTCCCTTGCTCATTTGCACGTTTTCCGTCTCTGTGTGGCCAGGTTAAAAAAAAAAAAAATGGACCTGTTCCTCATGCCTCTGGCAGAAAAGCATCTATTTTTAACTCAAGAAAGAAGGTAGAACCCCTCCCCCAACCTCTATCTGGGGCATTTCAAAGCTTGGTCTCAGCTGACAGAGCTCCAGGGAAGCCCCCAGTACCCTCCTCCATGTGTCCCCACTTTGGGATCCAGGCCACTGCTCTGCGGCTTTCTCAGCTGGGGCCCAGCTCCAGGCTGCTGCCCTGGGAGAGAAGGGCCTCCCTCCCCCTTCCATGCAGCCCATGGCCCAGAGAATGAATACCAGTCTCTCTGGAAGTTCATTTCCCTGCCCATTCATTTCCCAGTTTTAGCCACTCCACTCCTCCGGGCCTGATTTTTCCATCTGTGCAAAATGGATGCTAAATGATTTCTCCAAGTGGCCCTTTCAAGCCTTCGGCAATCACAGTGCTACCCTGCTGGACGGGCATCTCTTCTGGGCCCTGGTAATGCAGAGAGCTCCGTTTTAAAAGGAAGCTGGTTCTATTACTTTTTTTTTTTTTTTTTTTAACCAGAAACTTAGCGATGCAGAAGCAAAGAACTTACCTGAAGTGGTCCAGAACTGAGATTTGAACCCAGGCAGTTTGACCTCAAAGTCCAGGCTCTTTTTAATGCTATTCCAACCAGCTTAGTGAAAGCGCAACCACGTTTGATATTTCTGGGATTAAGTAGGAATCAAATATATCAGGCAACCCGGAATAACTCAGCCATGTGACCTATGGGTGGTCACCAATTTGTCCTCACCAGTCCCCTGCAGAACTTTGTGGGAACGTGGCCTCAGACATGACCACTGACCTGTAAGAAGGCAGTTCTCCACCCAGCATGGGGCTCAAGGTCGCGAACTGCAGGTCAGGAGAGGCCTGCCTCTGCCCCACACAAGTCAGTCACCGGAGCTCTCGCTGAGCTGTGTACCCCTCCGGCCAGCACAGCTGCCAAACAGGCAGGAGTTCACGGCAAGGTCACCACAGATCCTCGATTTATTCTTCCCTCCCGGCTGCCTGGCTGGGTCTCTGACAATGAAAGCTCTGTGGCAGGCAGAGTTCAGGCTCCATTTTCCCTGGACTCTGGGGCCTGGCTTTGCTGCCTCTGGGCTCCAAAACTGGAGAAGAACTACAGAAGCCAGAAAAACGCAACGGTAGAGGAAGGACAGACTTCCTCGCAGAAAGCAAGTGTGGACAATGACGCTGTAGCTTCCTGGAAAACAGCAGCTTGATCTGGACTTGGGACTTGCAACGTGGGGGGATGCAGGGAGCCCTGTGCACAGACAGGAGCGGTCAGAGGCGGAGGCCACGCACGCCCAGGGGCGGGACTGCTGCGCCAGGTGCTCCCCAGAGCACACTCCAGCACGGGGGTACCTTCCACAACCCTCGGGATCCCCAGCGTGTCATCTTCCAGCGTTCTTGAATCTCATGAGTCACGAGAACTTCCCCTGCACATGGGCAGGGGTCTGTGTTTTTTACGCACCATGTTTCCATGGTAAATAGATTTTAAGAATTCCCAAAGGACAGACAGTGTCACCAACAGCAGAGAGTGGAGCCTCTGGCTGCCTCATGTTTGAAAGCGTTAAAAATAAAGACAACATTGACATTTGGGGTTGTAATGTGACGGAATTACAGTCTTTTAAAGGCAAGAACCACTTATCTACACTACATGTAATATTCAGTGTTTTGTTCACTTGTCTAATTGGATTAAAATATTTAGCTCCCTTTAAAATCTTGATTGTGAATTTATATTGCAAAATGTAATGTCTGACTCGGGAAGCAATAAGTGGAGCAAATGTATCTAAAGCAATGTAAAATTCAATTTATTTTCCTTCCATGAGTCTTATTCTGAAATTATTCACTCTTGGACAAAGTGAACTAACTGTTAACGAAGAGCAAGTTTGGCTTAAATGAAGCTGTATGCGCTTTTCAATATCAATTACACACAGGGCCTTTAGTTAAAAAAAGAAAAAAAAGTTAAACTATGCTGTTTGAGTTTGAGGAAGCTTCTCTGAGGGTCGCCAGACCCCAGGTTAGAAAGGCCGCGCCAGGGGTCTTACGTCATTCTTTAACAACCCTCAGGCAGCAGGGAGTTAATGACATTTTCGCTGCATATGTTCAAGTTTATTTAAAAAAATATGCAAGTCACTTCGGTTGACAGTGTCTTGTACACAGTTTTGAAAGAATCAGGGCAAACTTTAACAGAGTCAGTTTTTATTTGAAAAATATTTTCTGGGAATGTATCAGTGTTTATTTTTGAGACTGACAATTCGGGTGAAAATCAGGATAAAAACAAAAAAACAACAATTTGGTTGAAATCAAATTGTTTGTTTTCATCTATTTAGAATTCTTTCCAAAAAATCTTGGTTCAGGAGGAGGCTTTTTAATTTATTTTATTCAGTGTATCTGCTGTTCTATTCAAGCACCATCTGTCTCGCAGGTAGCTAGCTTCGTGGAAGCGCCGACGTAACTGGGTGAAGCCCTCAGGGCTCAAGGAAGGACCACCACAGACTCTGTGGACACCTCCAAGTCCCAGCTGGACGACCCTACAGCTCAGTCTGCAGGGGCCCGCAGGAGCTGCGCGGCCCTCACTGGAGCGCACAGTTCTGAAGCCTCCCCCTACCTTTCCTTCAGGTCACAAACGGGCCTGTCCTCCCTTCGTCATCATCTGTGTCTTTGTTTCTTGTGCGTGTTTCCAGCTTTCTTCATGAATCCTTTGGTGTAACGAGGTAATCTCCATGATTTTGAACATAATCACGTATGTCTGCTGGATCCATGCACAAGTTTAAATCAAATCAGAAAGTAAATTCACTGCCAAAAAAGCTCCAAAGTCATAGGGCCAACTGATTAATCACCAATAAGTCGGTTTCAGATGCTGTTTTCTAAACTGTAAAAGTGATGCATCTGAAGGGACTAAAAGGGCATCCCTCCCCAGACTGAACACTGAGGACGGAATCAAACAGCCTGTTGGGACAGAGGCTATCAGAAAATGCAAATCAGCTGAAACCATATCCATCACCAAATAAATGTACAAGTAAAATAATCTTGATGTAAATGACAGTCCTCCAAGCGGACAGATAATTTCCATTCTTTCCCGTCTCTCGGATGCCATTCTCCCCAAGAAAAGACTCTTAAGTTCCTCACCAGCTGCCGCCACCCATCCCGGCCAGATGTTAGAGCCCCAGGCGCTGGGTCACAGACCCCTGACCCCGCTCCCAGCTGTCAGGCCTTACCAAGACTCCCCTGGGGCCCAGGTTCTGTATCCTGGACACCACCCCTCAAGTCCCCACCCCCCAACAACCACAGTCACTCCCGTCCCTGAAGAGAACAGAGGAGTAAGACTGGGTTAGTGTTTTCATGTCTCTGTTTCGCTACAAGAACTAACATAGCAATTCATGATGTTTCAAAAGCTGTCTCCCAGAAGTGTTTTCCCCAGGAGTGAAGCAGGAGATTCATAAAGCCAGTGTTTTTAATCAGTCCTAAACTAAGAACAAGTCAGAAGAGCAGCCTTGAACTTGGCGATCAGCAAACTGAGCCACGTCCACTGGGTCAGCCACAAGGCCGGCCCGACTCTCGCCAGGCTGGCCACCACACGACAGCAGCATTTCAGGGGAGACGGGAATTCTTATGGCCAAAGAATGTCACAGTGGCAGTTAGGACGTTGAGCGGCCCCCTCGGCCAGGCATGTTGCTGTGCATGTTTCAGAAGTTAAGCAGAAACAATTTAGAACAATAAAGCCTCCTAAACAGGCTAGATGTTTCCTGTCAGAGGCCACTGGCCAACCCGAGCTTGTCATCTGCTTCAGGGCCCAGGGCTCAGGCACAGGAACAAATTGGAGGGATGTGACTCAGCTTCAGAGCAGCTGCCCAGGCCAGAAAATATCCATTCTCTTTTGAGAATCCAGTGGATAGAGACTTTTAGAGTTTGGCGTGCAAAATTATTATGCTTAATTCATCCAGGCTGGGAAAAAAATGGAAGCCTTTAGCTAAACCATCCCGAAACCAGAGACAAGCCAGAGGAGTCTCTCCCCGGGAGAAGGGTGGGTGTGAAGTGGGTGTGGCCGGTGACTCTGGAACCCTCGGGAGGCAGCACCCTCCAAATAACCTGCCGGGGTCAAATGGCAGCCTTACTTACCTCAAGTAAGGCTCCCTGGAAACTAAACTCACAGTTCAAGTTTATTCCACGGCAGAAACAGGTCTAATGCCGCACTTGGGCGCAAAGAGCAGGCCTTTGCTTTAGAGAGTAGAGAGCTTGCCTGGGCTCCTGTCTCCTCTTTGAATGCTAGTATTTGCTACTGAAAGCCAACACTTTCTCTACCAAGCTTCTTTTGTCATGTTCACATTAAAATAATTTCAAATGCAATATCTGAATCTGAAAGATCCCTTTAGAGATGAGCCAGATGGGCCAGTATCAGATAGCATAGGATGGTCAAATCATTTCTGTTGCTTCAGGCAAGGAAAAAAGACCTGCTCATTTTTCTGAGAGAATTTTGAGGTTTTAGGGGTTTTTTAAAATGCATTTTACAAAAATTTTGCAATCCATTTGGCAATTACTGGGTTTTTAAAGCCCTGGAAGAGGTTTCTAAGCGTTGATGATCCATGTTAAGATCTAAGTGGGCTGTCAGGTAGGCAGATGGGGAGTTAAAAGGCAAACCCCACAGGATAATGATCTGGTCCAGAATGGAGAAGAAACTGCCACATGCTCAGAGCTTGTATAGAAGACTCTCCACAACCCAAGTTCTGAAGTCGCTCTCAGCTCTTGGAGGCCAGGAGCTCCACTGGTGCTGTGAGTCCCTCCAGCTGTCTGGAGACCCGATGGCCCCAACCTTTGGCTGGCACCACCCAGGGCCCCCCTCAAGGACCTGCCCAGACAGCTGAGTTCTGGTTGAGGTCTGGCCGCACAGGTACAGGATGAGGTGACTGCACACATTGGAGGAGCTGGGTGAGAGCAGTGAACATCGTTTCATGGCTGTTGGTCCCACAGGATCTCTGCCCAATCTGTGCTTCTCCCAGGACCTTCCCCAGTTTGGGGAGGAGAGAGGAAAAGAAAATCCCTGATATTTCTGTGGCCTGTAAAATGCAAGACAACCTGCCATGCACCTTGCAGCTGCCCTCATTTAACACTTCCAGTGTCCCTTTGAGTTAGGCTGGTATGGTACCCACTATGCAGATGTGGAAACTGAGGCTTAGAAGAGACTTCAATGCCTTGTTCAGGGCCTAGGGACAACGATGCATTCTGGAATCATTCTCTGTTCTTTCTGCCTCCCAACACTTTCAGAGGCTCTCAAACCCTAGTGTCTTCACTGAATTATCCAAACAGCTCATTAAAATGCAGATTCCTGGGCCCTGCTCCCAGAGGTGCTATCTTGGTGTGTGTGAGAAGAAGCCCTGAAACCCATGTTCCTTTATTTATATGTTATATGATGCTTATACAAGCATCCCGGATGCCTGTGTGACTGTAGGGCGTGTGGCTTGTGCACCACCCTTCCCTGCGAGCAGCCTCACAGGCCCTGGGAGGGGACAGTGCAGGTGTGTCTCCGTCCCCCAGCCTGAGCTCAATGACTGGCTCCTGGGGATGCCCATTTACTATTTGTGGAACAAATGAGGACTTTTGCAGTGGGGTTTGGTGGGCTGAGTGGGAAAAATCACTCAGAGGATAGTGGCTCCTCTATACCTGTTTGGGCACATGGTCATTTTGAAAAAAGAATGAGACAATTGTCTCATCGTTTTCATTTCCTGATGCATTTTTCCCATTAATCATTCCAAGCACTTTTTGCACGGCGTCCCCCGGGCACCCATGGAGCACCTCATTATCCTAACAAACTGCTTGATGGGGTAAAAAGCCCAGCCTCCCTGACAGGGAGAGAAGCAATTTAGGGAAAAAATAAAGGTTTCATTCCC